GATTGGTAATAATAATAACAAAATAAAGGCAAAAAACAATATAAACTTAATCGCTACAAATAAATGTGAAATATATCCAAATTCGCTTCTGAAAATGCCCAGAGACTCTCATATATAGTTGGAGGTAAAGATATTCTTTCTCTTTTGGCACACCAAAGGGACTCGTATAAAAACACGTTCAACGGCAACCCAGGGACGGACCTAATTAGTTATATGTTACGCTAAACAGGAAATATTAAACGTATTTAAATATTATCACATTATTCGCATAATTTTCTTCTTCGATTATTTAATAAATATCACTAAATTTAGTTTTAAAAGCAATACTTACGAAGTTGATCCGAAATAAATATTCACGACTTGTAATAAAAAGCCATGGAACTATAATATTTCATCTACTATTTTATTTACTTGAAGTATTTAAATATTGCATTGAATATTAAAAATCAATGTAGGATGTTACGAAAAATGCTTGAACAACTGTTATTTGTATCCTCTTTTTATAAAAAATTTAAATTACTGTGGAATGTATTAGTATGGTTTTAATTTGTAAAGTTACATTCCTAGAGAAGGAAAACAGGAACAATACCATGTTCCTTTCCAAAATAACGTGAACCAACATATACGTAGTTACATCAGAACTATCATCTTCACTTTTCGTGTCATTCAGGTTTTTAATGCAAGAATGAGCCTTAATATTCGATGGTTATTTTTAATTTATTTTTAAAGATCTGCCGGTAAACATTCGTGCCGAAATTATAACATTATTTGCAGACGATACCACTATAATAAATTTTGGTGATCGTTCGGTTAACAAATCGTGTTTTTTTTTTATTTTTGTGATAAGCAACATTTTTATATGATAATAAGTATTGTGGGTATATGATATTTAGATAATTTAACCCTTCGTTCAGTATGAAATTTGAGAAAAAACAAATAAAATAAGTAATTCTGAGAGCGTAGACAAGCAAAAAGTATCGATAATAAAAATTGTTTTAAACAAATTCTCCTAAACACACTTTAAATACAAAATCTTTCATTTTATCATACTACTCAGTGTGTACACACCTACAACCCATTTGAAGGATTTTTTTTTGTTTAATAGTTTGGATTATGAATTTTATGGTAACTAATTCAATTACTCTTTGATGTTTTAAAAATTTAAATGTAGGTGTCGCAACAGTGGTATCCTTGCCAGATTATTATTTTCTTTTTCAACGGGTATTAAATTATAAATGTACACATTTTCAGTCTTGTGTTTCACCCGTTACTCAAAATAATCGCTGGCTCCCAGTCAGGGGCGATTTCTCCATTGGTTCATTTGTGCAGTGAACACCCAGTTAAATTTCATAAAATCACATTATTTTAATATTTCATAAATAACATAAAAATATAAATTTAATTTTAATATTTTTATTTTCATACGTGTTTTTTGTTTTTTTGGTACATCATTGCCCTCTGGCTAATCGCGTCTCTGTGGCACAGTATACCTAAGTATACTGTGTCTGTGTCACAATATGATAAGTGAGCCTAACACGAGTGAGACGATTTGGCGAATGTATATAGCTTAAAAGAGAATACAACACGCTAACAGATCCTTCAAACTGCAAAATAACACACTTAATAGAGGACTTCTATACAAGAGAAGGGCAACCAACTTGACAAAATAAAATTGACACTAATGACATAAGAAATCGGGTCACATAAAGAGACTGTTTTTTAATTTGATTTTTGGTTTTTCCTATCCACCTTTATGCCATTTGCATACCTTGTTGTACCCGTAACGTGAAAAAGATGTTTTAGTTTAGGGTATTTTACATTTAAAGGTTGAAATAGTTTGTCATTGTCATTATCTCATTATGTTGATGATAGAACACAGGCGTAACCATAGATGGGCATAACGTAACTAGTATTGTATGTTGGTTGTATATTGTATAGAACTTGTATTCGTAGCAGCAGCATTTTGCAATCGACATAAATAAATAAAACCTAATGAAAAATAATGTTTCAAGAAAGCAGGAGAAACACAATTAGACTATTAACAACAAAAAATAAAATGCAGTGCTACGCTTATGTTTTGACAGTCCTCTATTGGCGCGCCGCTCACAAACAAGGTGCCAAACCAGTATTGCCAGTCTAGTACAATTCACAATTGTACTAGATGTAGTATTTTCTGTGTGCATCAGTGTTCACGTGTAAAATATATATATTTATTGTGTTCCTTGTTTGGGTTCGTTATCAATAAAGTTCCTCTTTTTTTCCGTTTCAATGAATTATATGTCACTGCAAATATAATTCGAAAAATCTGATACATTTAAGGAATCTGGTACATTTTTTAGACAAATCTGGTACAAAACAAAAACATATTCTGTCAACACTGTACCAAATCAAACAAACTGTCATTTCGTATTCCGTCATTTCTCTACTATCAATTGGTTTTAATAATATTAAGATTATTTTATTTGTGATCATTAAAAAAAAATGTATTTAATTGAGAACTGCAACTTTAATAAATTGGAAGGATGTGTGTCAATTTAACGATTGTTCCCGAAAAACTTCTTTAAAAATAAAAACTTTTTAAGGTTATTTTGTTTTATTTACCTATAATAAAGTTTTACGACTATAATTTGTTTTATATTTTGTTTCAGTGTCTAAGACAATCCAAAGACTACTTCAAAATGGTATATTTTGTACCCAATTGTAAATACTATGAAGGAAGAAGTAAGCAAAAAATGTTTTTCCCACAAAACTTGCTAAAAGGAGAAATTTGATTATTCTGATGAGATAACTACATTATGGACATGGAAATGTACGATAAAAATTTGATAAAGATAAAGAGACAAATGGTTTTTCACTTTAAAAATCTGAATCGGAAACATGGATCAACCAGTTAATTTAATATACTCGATGAGAAATTTTATCTAAGAAATGGTATATACATTTAAATAGTTTACCTATATAAAGTTATGTTTGCCTGTAATTATCAATCGTGTTATCTTCTAACCTAGATCGTTTGTTGCATACAAACCAGAAATCTTTTATTTTAATGACATTTTTTATTGCCTTGTTTGTATAATTTAGTGTTTTCAAAAATATTAGATGTTATGGTAATTTGGATCACTCCAGGTATTCAATAAAAATAGGGCTTTTGGATAAATTAATTTACAGTTGGTAATAAAGTATGTCTCGAAGAAAGCAATAAGTATCAAACATAAATTGTGATTTTGATTAGGCACTTAACAAGTCACATACCACATATCTACATGCTCTGGCTAATCAATCCTATAAGTACATATCAAAACATTAATATACTATCTACAATTAAACAATAATTTGAAAATACAGGTGAAGCCGATTTTTCTATTTAGACAAAATACTATTATTCTGTTATTTATTAAAACACATTATTTTTTAGTGAACATGGACATGCAAAAGTCTACCATGAAAGTAGGACAGAGCGAGACCAAGAATACTTTGGAATGTGCTGTGAAATACATTTAGAATGGGTCATATGGAGAATTAAGTATGATAACATTTTACGATGTGTATCTCACTAGTTTAGTCACATGTTTAGTTCACAGATTTCTGTAAATGTTTAATTATTATGTGCTGCTATTTCAAACTTCTATTATCCTTTGATAAAAGAACTTGATTATTGTTGACCTTTTTAATTGTTTTTTTTTATCTTATACATTTTTTTTTCTACTCTTCATACAGTATTCTGTGAAGAGTATTATAGGTTTACTTTGTCTGTCTGTCCGATGTCACGTTTTTTGTCTGCACGATAATTCAAAAACGAGAAATGATATCAACTTGAAAATTTTAAGCAAAAATCAAGCTCTATAAGGGGACAAAGTCTATTGATTTTTAACAAATCTGATTAAAAATAGGGCGTTAATATGGGTTGAAATTAAAAAAAAAATCCTAAATTAAAAACGAAAAGCGATATCAACATGAAATTTTTAGTAAAAATTAAGCTTTATAGGAAGATAAAGCCTATTGGTACTGAAAAAAATATGAATATATTGGGGAGTTAAGGGGGGTTAAAATATAAAAAAAATCCTAACTGAAAAACGAAAAATGATATAAACTTGAAATTTTTAGCAAATATCAACCTCTAAAAGGAGAAGAAGCCCTTTAAACCTGATTGAATATGGGGAATTTAAGGGGGTTAAAAAAAATCAAAAATGAAAAGCGATATCAACATGAAATTTTTAGTAAAAATCAACTCTATTATGGAGATGAGACCCATTGATTGTGAAAACAATCTGATTGAAAATGGCGGTTAAGGGGGTCTGTTAAACTGTCAGGCATTATATATCTTTATTCTAGTTTGTGCCTGTGTAATTTATGTATTGTGATGGGACTGATCTTATAAAATAAACATTTAAAACACTTTAGTTCTTATTTTATTTGCCAATAAAAGGTATTTAAAAAATATATTTTTTATTTGACATCTGTGACAAATTGTGAAAATGATTAAACTTACAATAAAAACTGAAAAATGGTAGGTAAAGTTTCATATACAATTTTTTACACAAAAATCAATGTCAAGCTTTCTACATAACCTGATATATACCTATTTAAAAATAATCTCAAATTATGAAGAAAAGTCAAATTACTAACTAATAATGTTTATAGATGGTTTTCAACGTATTTAAAACCAAACAAATATTACACTAACTAAAATATTCATTTATTAATAATTGTAGTGCTTGAAAACAGTATAATGTTGATAATAATAACTACACTTAATACAAACTCAAATAATAAAAAAAACAGAGACATTGACTCTTGTGCAAAGTTTTGATCCGAACTTACAAATGATAAAATTATTGGAAAAAGTGAACACCCATTTTAAATTATTGCGAGCCGCCACTGTCCAGTATAAATTCGTAAATGATGCATATATGTTATATTTTTGTGTTTGCTATCATTGATATGGCTGAGATCCTCTCACTTTATAATATAATGTATACCTGTGTAATTATTAAACTTACCGGAAACGCAGTGGCTGCGTTATTAACTAGCAAATCGAAGCCACCGTGTTCGTTAGCTATAAAATCCTTGAATTTGTCAATACTATTTTGCTGCGTTATGTCCAATTGATGAAATCGAGGCTTTAAATTTTCTTTTTCTAACTCAGCCACCGCATCTTTACCTCTTTCTTCATCTCTAGATGTTAAGTAAACTATACCATCATAATTTTTACAAAGTCCTCTAACAATTTGGTATCCTATACCTTTATTTGCACCTGTAACCTTTCAATATTTTTTAAATAATTAATTTTAATAGATATACAATTGCTATTTATGTAACGTGTTAGATCCACGATTTTTTATAATTTTGACTAAATTATTTATAAAATTGTGTTTGCGAAAACATGACTAGAAATTAATTTTTTGAACTGCCAATAAAAGATTTTAGAAAATGAATACTTGGAAGTTGTTGAGAAAAAATGTGGCATTTTGTACAGGGTGAATCCTAAATTAATACTTCTTTAAATGTGTATTGAAGTCAATAAAATAAACAACTTCAAATTAATAAACAATATATTCACAAAACAAAACCATAAAACTGAATTTAAGTTGTAGAGCTTGAAAATGTTGAATGTGAAAGGGATACAATTGATTTTCCCGCAATGTTGACATTTTTCTTTGACTTTGACTTATCCCCCCTGATCTGCAATGTTCTGCAATTTAAAATGTGTTCATCTAAAAGCACTTTTCAATTTTCCATAGGTACTTCACATTAACAAACTATTGAAATCAGACGACACACGACTGAGTTACACAGTAATAATTATGATGCATACTTAAAAATTCGAAAAAAAAGGGTAATAACATAAACAGCTCAACTTTTAATACAGGTTGGTTTCTTAAAGTTATTTAAGACAGTTGTTTATTTTAACGATTTTTATGCACACATACATTAAAAAAGTATAAACTTAGGATTCATCCTATATAGGTAATTTGATTTATTTGAATAAACACAAATGGGTATTTTAAATGTTTTTAAAAATTAAATTATTCATTGTATGCTTTCGATCACTTGGAGGATTTTGAATAAAATTGACTATATATGCAACCGATATCACATTCGTTGCATTGTTAGTTGCACAACATTTTCATTTTAATTGGCATATTTATAAACTTATATAATAATTATTCTCTTCTCTGGTGGTTTCCTTGCTTTTTAAAGCATATTAGTTTTCAAGTAATTGGATTTTTGTCATGTGTTGATTTTAACAGTATTTTGATCGTTTTGTACAAATTTTGGACGAAAAATAGGGACTGAAACAGAATAATTACTAATTATAAGTTCAATAATAAAATCTGTTTTTATATAGCCAATCTTTCTTTATTTCTTTGATATAAACTTTCAAAGGTAATGTATATATCTCAAGTGCGTATTAAATAATCCGCCTTTTTTCAAAAACGCCGGTATATTAAACAAAATAATGAATTTCTGTACAAAACCTATCCGTTTTCAGCTATTTTGCAAAGTGTCTGAACAAACTGGCCAAATTAAATAATGATGATCGTGGCAATATATTTCTGCAAACAGTCTGCCACTTTGCAAAAAACCTAAGCAGGCTGAGGACGCATCAAATTATGATGAGTTTTATATTGGAACTGACCAATCAGATTGCATAAAATAATATTATACGGACATTTTGCAAAATATTTATTTAGAAAAAATAACAAAAATTGGAATGAAACTAAGTTTTGGAAATGGATGAACTAGTAGTAAAAGAGAAAAATAGTTGAAATGAAAGATAATTCGAGAGACGCTAAAATGGTGGTTCCCACCTTGTCGAGACTGAGGACCACAAGAGTAAACTCGTAGCGTAACAAAAACGAGAAACGAAAGACCGAAAGTAGTATTAGGACGTTGAATTTTTTGTTTTGTGAAGCATTGGCATTACTAAGGTTAAACCATGTGATGATTTTCACAAGCCTTGATTTTTAAAACAATTCTATATCGCCTTTTGATTAGGGTTTAAAAACATGTTCGAGCAATTTATTAAATAATAATTGGCCCCTTTACCTCTTAGGCTTGCTCATGTAAAATATTTGGGTTCCTTACTTCGCCTATTTATATTCTATTAATAAAGGACAGAAGAATGAGTATTGCAACTATATTAAAATAAATAAATTGGCTTTTAGTTTAGAATTATGTTCAGTACATGACTGATATTTATTTATAAAATAAAAATAACATAAATCCATCGCATCAGATCTATTAGAAAAAATTCAATATAATTCACAATATCACAACTATAATACAAGAAGCCAATCTGACTTTCATGCCCGGCAAGCCATCACTAAAAGTTCCCAAAATACAATTTTTATTAAAGGTTTAAAACATTTAATAGACTGCATACAGAAATTAAAAAAAAAAGAACAATAAATATATTCAACAGTAACCTCAAACAATATTTGATAAATAAACAGAACGGATATACTTTCTTTAAACCTGCCCTTATTTTACTTCTCGTTTTACCTCGTTTTTCTACCTACTATGTTTAAATTATTAATAGTTTTGCGACGATAGGTTATAGCAACTTATAGCCACAAAACTATTTTTGTGTTAAAGTAGATCCATAGAGAGCAATGTAATTTACAAAGGCCTTCTTTCAACATACAAATAAATGACAACTTTATAATTAAAATGAAAAACAACAAAATACCACAGTATCATAATTGATCAAAATTTGAAATGGGTTGATCACATTACGTCATTAAAACCCCAAAGGTAAGAAGATTCATTTTTAAATTTTATAAATTGAGGAAATTTATGACTACTTATTATTATTATTTACAATTCGCTGGTTGAATATGTAATCTAAAATTGTATAATTACAATTATCTACAAAAAAAACCAGCATTATAACCTAACTCTCTTTTATATAATATTATTTGTCTTCCTGTACCTTTATTTATGGAAAGCCTGAATTAAGATAAACTACAAATTATTTGCAATAAATATCAAAAGAAGCATACATTTTTAAATAATTTGACATTTAAGAGCCATTCACACATCTTGATACTTAACAGGCACAGCCAAGCATTATTCTGCTTTTTGCCAAATAAAATAGCCGGTTAATTATTCATTCTATGGGGTTCCGACAGAGAGCCAGTAAATTTGATGAAGATGTTTTTGTGGCTAGGGGCGAAATAGTAGTATGCTTAAGTTAGCACCACCATAAAAAGTCATTTTTAAGAAACTGCTTATATATTTTTCATAAATTGGCAAGCTTGGCTACTAATTTCGAATAAAAATAGCCTTCAAAATGGCTATGGTTGCAAGTATGAAGGTCGCAACCCACCTTAGAAATTTCATCTTTACTATCATCAGCTGTTGGTTGACAGGTCGTTAGAGAATGTTTGCAATTTATGGAATGTAGACAATGTTAGGAATGATGACGTTAGAAATAATTAGAATTCCTAAAATTGTCACATAAGAATTGCATAGGCGGATTTTAAGAAAATTGATATTAAAGTAGTTAGGATGAACCGAAAATTCTGAAAATCAATAGGGTTCTAAGTTAGAAGTAATTATTCAAGAAAATCAAAACGTAAGTCAATCAGAACTTTCGTTCTAGAGTTATTGTGCCGGCATACATATACACAGACGACCAGATGAAAATTTTTTTTTGCATTTTCGTACTCAGAATGATCGGAAACATGAAAAAATGAGGGTAAGAAAATTTTTTCGTCTGCACGAATGCAATACTGAGGCCCCATAGGAAAGGCCTCAGTAATTTGATCCGTCTCGCCTCCGTTTAATATGTTGTAAAATGACTGAAAACTGATATGACTTTTGCAGAAATTCATTCTTTCGTTTAAAACGATGGCCTTTTTTAAAATGCCTAGTCTTTTTACAAAAAGCCGAATTATTTAATAAGCCTGCGTAATATATATTTTACTGATAATTAATTTGATCGTAGTCAAGTTGTTTTGTTAATTAAATTGAGGTCAATACTTTTTTAATTAATTTCCCAATTTTTACTTTCCAGTCCCACGTTAATAAGCCAATTGTTTTGTTATTTAATTTTAATTTTTATGATTGTATTGTTTTTAATGCTTAGGGTTTATTTTGATTCAGGTTCTTTCATGGATTCTGAGTAAGATTTTACAAAACTTGATCGACATACGTATTAAATTTTGTAAAATAAAAGCGTCATATAAAAAGTTGTATTCTTTATTTTATGTGTATGAGTATACCTGGTTATGGGTCAGTTTCGTCGTCTTCGTCGAAAAAATAATAATATATAAAAAATATAGTTTTTTCACACACCTCATTTGATACACTTTCACAAGTTTATTACTTAGCTTATACAAAAACATTTAATCTCAAATTTACAACATTATATTCTGCTAGGGACACGTCACAATCTCCCAAAGAACGTTTTGGTTTTTCTAAATGCTATTACTATTTACTAGAATTGATTTTATTACTACCCCATTTATACTCGGTTATCCCGTTATCCACTGACTACTAAACATTATTAGTTATTATTACAAAATAGTGGAGACTCGCTCAATTTTCCTTCGCTTGTCCTTGATACAATTACATTGTAGTTTCCTTGAAACATACTCATCAGCACGTATTTTTTCTAGAATAAACAAAATGCCCCAAATTCACTTCTCCTGTCGTATACCAAACCTCTGTATATCATTCCTTTTTTCGTGCTTGTCAGCAGCGGACTGAATTATATTTAAAACTGAATAGTGATTTAAAAATGCTAAAACGGGCGCATTATTCTTCAGACTGGAATAAAAATAGTGCAAAAAAGTTGATAAGGCAGTTAGGCGAAATGCAGGAATAAATAAAGATTCTGGCTCTAACGAATAATCAGCAGGTAGGTTATATTTCATCATTAACATTAGATATTGTATATACAGGGGAAAACATACGTTATTTCTTCTAAATAATAATAATAATAATGACTTTATTGCTTTCAATACATACAAATTATTATACAAAATTATATAAATATACATAAAAAAAATACTGAAAGACAAAAGGCGACGTTCGCACTTACTGGCGAGCTCAAAGATTGAGCCAGCAAATAAGCAGCGCTCTTCCACGCAACCCAGAAAAATATAAATAATTAAGTAATGCATACAGATTTTCTATGAAAAAAAGTGAAATTCTAGCTTTCAATAAGAAAGCAAACAAACAATTAATATGGAAACTTAGAAATAATAAAAACAAAGGTCAAATTTTATAAATCCTAGATCTGTGTTGTTAT